GCCTGGGAGCAAGAGAGTGTTGCGCAATATATATATATATACTGCGCGGTATATATATATATATATATATATATATATATATATATAAATATATACATTGTGTATATATGTATACATGTGTGTGAGTCTTTATAAGTTCAAAAATTCCAAACGTGTTGTACACATGTGGCCTGGATATCTGGAGATGATCACAAACGATGACGTAGAGTCCAGCTTTGTTCATGTCCATGACTGCTTTTGTCCAAGAAGTCACATCAAAAATGGAGGCATTTTTCTGCATGTGTGTTTTCTCTCATCTGTCTCCATTCACTCTGTTTCTCTTTACAATAAACTTCTAATGCTGAATAGAAGAAGCTAAAGACTGAAAAAAGAGTTGTTTTGGTAGATTTTTTTTCCAAGGACTGTTTGAACCATGCTCAGGATTTTCTTTTGAATTTTGCTAATAATATACATTGTTGCCACCTGCTGGCACAGAGAACACATTATAGTGTTTTTGGGTAGAAATCTGTAAAGTTTAGCATCTAACTTGAAATTACTGGCTACAGAAAATGAACTAATACATGCATCTTTATAAGTAGACGAGAAACTAATGCACTTAAGTTTATAAAAGTGAAAAAAAAGTAAGGAAAAAAGGAGGAAATGAAACACCAATGACTTTGTAAAAAAGTGGCCAGCAATATTTAGGGAACACAGTCTTGGAAAAAGAAGGAGACCACATCCAAATATTTACTGCCAATTCTGTGGCACGTCAACACAATGGAAGCATACTTATTTTGTAATCCTTAGGAAAAAGAAGAAAAGAAGAGTCATTATTTTGTGCTCTTGAAGTAGTTTCCATGATACAAAGATGATGCATTATGGATGTTTGGTGTATAATCATTGTTTGTTTCTATCAAAGTGTTAGAAGACAGAGACACAAAGCATTCTGATTTTAGAAACATGAGGTTTCTGCTTATGTAATATTTCATAAAACATTTGGGCAACAAATGACAACCTGGTATCAACCAGATGTCCCTTTCATGTTATGAAGCACTATTTTTACCCCTCATTCTCTCAAGATGTTGTAGCTTTTGACAGTTTATTTAACGGACCAAATCTGAAGCCTAACATTTAAGGATCATATTCAGAATTTACTAAATGACAAAACAGAAAATGTAAGTTTAATGGTAGAAAAAGAAAGTATGAGATAAAGATGCATTTTCTGCCAAAATACATTAATAACCCCCCTGTTATGAATAAATAGCTATGAATTAATTTTAACTGCACCATCAAAGAGAATAGCTTTGGGCATGTTAGAGAAGGTGGGATGAGAAGAAAAGAAAACTTAAGAAAGCATGAATGTGTTTTTTCTTCCAACACTCAGTGAAAGGCACAGTAGAGACTTTTTAAGAGAAAAAAACGCAAGAGGTAGTAATTTTACAAACATTGTTATTAGAGTTAAATAACAAGGTAAGCTGGGGATGTGGAGGTTGAAACAGCAGAAACAACATGCTCTGCTTTCAGCGCTGCTTTGTATTTTGTCCAAACACAAGTGTTAGAAAATATAACTCCTACTGGCAATTGAAAAATCGTGTTTAATCAAGTGAGCAATTTTTTTTTTTAACACAGTGCTTCCATTATGCTTCCTTCACTGCTGGGAAGACCTCTACAAAGCACTTTTATTTAAAGCTAATAATGGCCAATCCCAGCAGGTCAAATAATTACATTACTTCACATCTTAATAAAATGCAAACAGTATCTGCAAATTAATGCATATATTAAATATATCACACTGTCTGAAGAGCTTTTCTTAGATCTGAAGGAATTTAAATACAAATTGTAGAATTTAATTAATTGTATTTATTTATGTTATTTGAAAGTCCAGCTTCAAGACATCAACACTGACATTATCATCTATAAGCATCTAAATTTTAATACATTTTAAATCCTAAAGACATTACAGTCTTTTAATATGTTTATGTTTTCATTGCTAATCTGATGATTCATAGGTGGGAAGGTCTACTTGCCATCCCCCAAATATTTACTTCCTCATTCAAATGGAGTAAAAGATGTGAAGGAAAATTAAAGAGGTTTTAATTTTTTCTTTCCAAATTGTCATAACATAATGTGGGTAACACGCCAAACCTCATACAAAAAGGCAAAATGGTGAATTTTAACAACTAAAGGAAGATTACCTCGCTTCACCTTCCTTTGAAGACATTCCAACAAATTAAATGATTATTTAGTTTAATAATAAAAATCCAAAGTCAAAACTAAACAAATGGAACATTGTGTTTCTGTTTATGAAAGAATCTGTCTAAACAAACTAAAGAGAGAAGCTCAATTTTTACTTTTAAGAAAATAATAAAATATTATATTTTATCATGGCACAATGAAGAAGCATACTGACTCAGTAGAGTCCAGTATCATTGAAAAGATAATATATATGTATAATATTTTTTTTTATACATTACCTGTTTTCTGTTTAAAGATGGATGTTTGATTGATGCTTAGTTACTTATGGTATAGTAAACTGACTTTTGAGAAAGTGGGTAGATTACTTTTCTATTCCATTTCAAAACTTTATATCAATGTGAAATACTGATTTTAAACTGCAAATGAATTAAATAAACAAATAAATTACCTAAATAAAATAATGACACAAGGTTTAGTGAAATAACTTGTGGTCACAAACATCTGCTTGAAAACACGACCCTCACGAAACCCAATAATTAAGAGCACTTAGAGACTTCACACGGTTTTTTAGCAATGAAGACCAGATTTATAGGAAAAATGGTTGTCATTAAATGATAGGTTAAGTGTGACAACAGGCAGGGAAATTACCTGCAGCTGCTCCTCTCTACAAACCAACCATTCATGATGTCCAAGTCACATTTGAGTTTTTTTAAATAATTCTCTGTAAGGTTAAACGTTTCAAAGCACTGAGAAAAAAATGCTGCAAGTTCAGACAGTAGACTATTATAACATCCCAGAAACACTGCGAAAATAATCATTACTACCCAGAAAGCTCACACTGAACAAAGAGAACGGATGTGTGGGCAATTCCCGTACAGCATGGGTGAAAGTTTGGGGGGTGGGAAGTAACGTAGGGGAGAGAAGAGGTTGAAAAAATAATTTAAAAAAAAACAAAAAAGGTCCTCCACCCACTTGGTTGGAAAGGGTCAGCATGAGGACTGGTGCACACCAGTAAGGAGGGGGAGGACCTACAGGCAGAATATTTAAGATGCTGATCCAGAGCAGGACTTGAGGAAAACAGGACAGAGCCTGAGTTAGCAGCACTACAACGTTGCCTTTTGACTTCTTTTAGAAACAGAAGCTCTTTAAAAAACATTTTAAAAAAGCATCAAGTCTAAAAGGATTAACATATCCAGACATGACTAAAATCAATCTGAGCATCCTAGCTTTAGGCATCACACTGCTCCTGCTAGGGACCGGGGCCCAGAACCCCAAGAAGAGGCCAGCTCCCTCCAAGCCCCCTAAGGTTCAGTGCTGCGATGAGGTGCGCTCGCTCAAGGTCCAGGTGGCCAACCTGACTAGCCTGCTCGAGGAGTTGGGTCGCAAGCAGAAGACGGACATGATGAATGTTGTGAGGCAAATCATGGAGCTGGACAAGCAAGACCACCAGCTGGAGGGCCGGGTCACTGAGGCGGAGAGCAAGTACTCAGAGATCAACAACCGTGTGGAGATCATGCAGCTCCAGACTCTGCAGTCGGCAACCCAGACTTCCTCAGGTGAGCTTCTAGGAAAAGAGGGTGTCATGTTGATGTTGATGTTGATAGACTAAACTAGAGGAGTTCTTAGTGTTGCTTCTTAAATGAGTAGGGGAAGTAAAGTCTGATTTTGCAGTATTTAAGATCTTGAACATCAATTACAGCAAATCAAGGAAAAATCAACCACGCTGATTTCCAAAGGATTGATTGGTTAATCTCTACTCGAGTTATCCTGTTGAGTTTTTATTTACTAGTAAGTAGCACATTTTTTTCAAAGATATCAATCTCCCCAATGGAATGCATTTACTACAGCTGCAAAGTACTGTAATTATCTGTGCTTTGTGGGCCCCATGAGCCGCTGTGAATCAGCAGTGAGGTTGATTACAGTGCACACAGCAAGCTGCACAGCAGCAGGATAAAGCATTAATTTGGAAAATACAGAGTCCCGTCTGCATGCAAAGCTCCCACACAGCCATATGCACTCAGAGACTCAACCTAACCAATCAAAACAGTAATTGGGCCTTCTGTTGTTTCTGGTAAGTTTGCTGTGTGGTCTAATGGAGCCACACGTATGATTCAGGAGAGAACAGAGAGGCCTTTCTAAAGCTCGAATCAATCTGGGATTGGAGGGCAGGACAGGAAGTGATGCTCAGATTAAAAAATGTTGATGGGGTTCCTCCAATCTCAACAGCTATAAAGCTCATATCGACCTCGTAAAGCTTTTAATTACATCACCATACCATGATAGAGGAGCCTACAAAAAGCATGTAGCACATATTCCAGATTCATTCCATTTGTTTTGCTTTTGATGAGAGCTAAAAAGCCATTTTTGCATCTGTAAAGTCACTCAGACAACCATAAAGCTGAATTTATAGGAAGCCCTTCTCTGAAATCTGCTCATGAAACTGCATATGCTTTTAGCATAACTTAATGTTCTTCTTTTCCAGATGCCACATATGACTGTGCATCCCTTTATGGAAAAAGCTACAAGATCTCTGGCGAGTACAAGCTCCCTAAAGACGAGTTTCTGGGTGCACCTGAGCTCAGCGTAAGTCCTCGGTTTGAGTTCAGAGTGGTTCCTTTTCCACTTAGCATTCAGTAGCGATGCAGGAAAACAAATGCTCTTCTGTTTCAGGTCTTCTGCGATATGGAGACAAACGGAGGGGGTTGGACTCTGATTCAGCGGCGCAAAATTGGCCTGACTTCCTTCAACCGAGACTGGAAGCAGTACAAAAACGGCTTTGGATCCATTCGCGGAGACTTCTGGCTGGGCAATGACCACATCTTCCGCCTAACGAGGCAGCCCAGCACACTGCGGATCGAGCTGGAGGCAAGTGTTGGAACTTTTGTCGGGCATGAACCATTTCATAGCCAAAAGCAAGCAGACAGAATCATATTACGTCTGTTTGAGTATAAAAATTAGTAATAAATCTTACTAATTGCAGAGATGGAGAGCCAATAAGATCCGTTTTTACAACCCTTCCTGACTAAATCACTGTATATGTGCTTCAACACAGGACTGGGAGGGACAGACACGCTATGCTGAGTACGGCTTTTTCACTGTGGGCAATGAACTCAACAGCTACAAGCTCTTCATCGCCAACTACAGCGGGAACGCCGGAGACTCCCTACGCTACCACAACAACACCAACTTCAGCACTATGAACAAGGACAACGACAAATGCGTGGATGACTGCGCTGCCCTGCGCAAAGGTGATCTACTGACAGTGATGTAGCCAAAGCTTCCAGAAAGGTAATTTCAGGTGGATAAAACATAGGCAGATCCTGATTCTTTTCCTTCCGCTGCTCCTAGGTGGTTACTGGTACAACTGCTGCACCGACTCCAACCTGAACGGCATTCTTTATCGCTACGGTGAGCACACAAAGGGCACCGACGGGATCACTTGGTACGCCTGGCATGGCCCCAACTACTCCCTGAAGAGAGTGGAGATGAAGGTCCGGCCAGCGGGTTTCCAACCCTAAACCTCAGCTGTGTCTACCGGATCAAGATCATAAATCTCTCTTAACACCTTTACGACCAAATTGTGTTTTCAACTTAAGAGCAAAGAGTAAGAAGTTTTTGATGGCCTGTTTTTACAGTCAAACAATTTTGTGTTTGTAACTTGTTGGGGGGGGCGGGGTTTGCATTCATTAGTAACATTTTAGTTGTTTTAAGCACTGAAATGTGTCATTTTAAACCACTGTCCCTTACGGGCGACTGGATTTTAATCAGTTCTCTCATTTTCGTGAAAGCACTACGGTATTTCCAATAAGTAGTGTCTGATGAAATGTCATGATGGAAATATGTAATTTGTAAAATGTGTACAGGTTTTTAATGATGCCGTTTAATGTGATGGAAAAATAAAGATATTTTTTAAAAGAAACATGACACAAGGTCTCATTTACATGTGAAACATTTTACCCTGTGATTAACCCAGAAGTGATTTGCGCTCTGCCAGGGTCAGAAGCTGACATCCTGCCCAAAGGTCCTAAAACACATGACCCAAATAAAGGAAAAATAGACCACACATGTTGTACCATCTAGTTAAATACTGCTGAGGTTTCCTACTTGAAGAGCAAAACACCATTTTATTGTTTACGACCTAGAGGGAATTTCTTATAGCAAGTGCTTCCTTTATAACACCAGAAATCAGTTTTAAGCAACACATTCAATGAAATCCTAATTAAAGCACAACTTTTATGCCATAAGCAAAAAATGAACACAGAAGAATACTAGAGATGTGACAAAATATTCTAAAAGTGACAAAAATGACTGGATTTTAAGGGGTTTTCTAAATATGTGAGCCCCCTTTAGCAAAATCTGTAATTCAGAAGTAGTGCAGGGAGCAAATACAGGAGGCAGTTACCGCGGTGATAAACTTTATTGCCATAAAGGTAGCAATGACAAGGAATATTCAGGGTTGGGTTGCTGTAAATTGGTGGCTCCAGTTTTTCTGTGGACTTTAAACATTAATGATGCTCTCCAAAGAGGCTTTTACATCAGCGTTATGGTAAGTATTATAGGCTTCTAGAAAAAATTAAAATCTGATGAAGTTGCATCTGAGAACAGACGTAACTTATTAGAGTTTTGATGTAGATTCTGTCATATTTAGTCATGTTATTAACAGATTTGTAATGGTTGTGGACATTACAAGAACATTAAAGAATAACACAGTAGCAAGTTCCAGAAACTTCAGCTGTGTTTCAAGGTATAGAGCAGAATAACAGTAACAAAACACAATCAGCTGGCAATCAACCAATGACTTGTAACTGAAACGTACAAAAAAAGGAAGAAAAAAAAACACCAAAAACTTTTTTTCCGATAAGTCAACATGCAGCCCTGCGACAGACTGGCGACCTGTCCAGGATGTACCCCGCCTCTCGCCCGGAACGTTAGCTGGAGATAGGCACCAGCACCCCTCCCGACCCCACTGAGGGACAAGGGTGTTCAGAAAATGGATGGATGGATGGATGGAAGTCAACATGCAAGAATGTGGCAGAAACAACATTCTTGGGTCTGGAAGTTGTTACTGAAGAAAAAAGGACTCAAAGTTTGATTGTTTCAGTAATAAGTGAGGTGGAAATGAAGTCAGAGAAAGCACAGAGATGTGGGAAGTCACTAAAAACAGAAACTATTTTATGCTAAGGCATGTCTGTAGTTAGCAAGGCTGTGGGAGAGAGAGAACGAGAGAGAGATTCAGCAGATAACAGGAAGGCTAAAGGGATTAGAGCAAAGTTTCACTGTTCTTTGTCTTCTCTGCTCTGGTCTGTTATGTCTGCATTTTTGGCATTAAGGTAGATGTCTACATCTGTAGGAAATATAGAATGTAGTGCAAATTTGACTGTTATTCATCCTAATATTAGATTCTAAAGATTATTTAAAATGTAAACTCTATTATCATTTTGTCATTATTTTAAAATAATTGAAAAAAAAAAGATCTACACCAACTTTTCTCTTACACACAGTGTGACATCCCCTCTACCTCCAATATGTCTCATATAAAAATGACTTCTCAGAGAAGCTACAGTGCGAAAGTATTCTGCCCCCTTGAACGTTTCAACTTTTCAACATTCTTTGAAAAGTTCAAGGGGGGCGTATACTTTCCTAAGGCACTTTATGGTAGGCAGTTATATTAAAAAGCTGTCCATTCTTTTATAAAGCAGTTATTTATAGAGAAACTGGAATCAACTAAGTTATTTTTACACAGGTCAAAACTTCACAAAAATAAAAAATGTAAAATTTACCATAAAACTGCAATCAATGAATTAAGAGTAACAGAATTAAACTATCAGTTCAGATTTTCTAAAAGTCATGGTTATAAATTAAATAATGTTTCAAAAACTGCAAGAGTAGCCCCAAACACAACTAAAAAGTCTCCAGCAAATATCAACAATACCTGCAGAAATTAAAGTATTTTTCCTAACAGTGCCAGCTCTGAATAAAAACAAGACTTTCATTGTACTTTTGCAAAGCCGAGGCAAAATCTTTTATGGGAAATCCTAGAGAGGTGAGAACCAGATGGGGCTAACACCAGAGTGCCGGCTCCCATCATTCATCATCATCACGAGTCCCAAGAAATTGAAAACAGGCCCCGAAGAAACACAAGTCCAGACACTTTTCACACAGATGAAAAGGAGGCCAGCGTCCAATTAGATGGCTGGAAAACAGATTTCTCTGTGCCATGCCAACAGTACAGAAAGGAAAAAGACAAGAAAACTGCACGGAAAAATTGACAAAAGATATCAAAACCTTGAAGCACAGAGTGACATGAGAAGTACTATATAATTTATTTGCCAATTTTTTTAGATGGGACTTTGAATTTCAGATGGAACAACACATTATAGAGAGATTCTTAGCACTTCTGATCACCTTATAAATTCTACAATCAAATAAGTGAAGTGAACAAAAACGTAAAATGAAAGCTGGTCTCTTTCACTTAGAGATTGTGTTTCTAATGGCTGAATTAGTTCAATATTTACAAAGGCGAGCTTGCATTTTGGTCAAGTAATTCATGAATTTTCAGCACTCCAACCTGATTAGAGACTCCAAGATGAGAGGAGAGGGGCCTTTCTGGAACTCCAGCTCCTTGTAATGCAGTGCCTTGGCGTAGGCACGACATTTGGCGGCTCTCTCTCCAAGCAGAACGATGCCATTATCGTCTCTGAGGGGCAGAGGGCCCTGGAAAAGGAAACAGAGCCGTATAAAATAACCAAACCTTTCTTTTTCCCCCCAAATGAAAACATAACCGAGGAAAAATACATAAGTCATTTTTAATTTAACCTCCACGTGGCAATTAGCAGCTGAAGTTTTTATTTTCAGTGGGCTTGTGTAGCAGTCCAACCAGGAGTCTCCTTTCTTTCTTTTTTTTGAAGTAACGACCAAACCATGAGAGTCTCAGTTCTCAGAGTGACACTATTGTTGCTAAACGGCCCAGGTTGTGTGGTCTGTCATCAAGTCTTCACCAGCTGTCTCCGATTCCTCTTCCAGTAAAATAATCAGACGGTACGATGGAAGCTGTCAAACAATCTAAACAAACAGTCGGTAGCCTAAAATCACTTTTATTTAGCTGATTTCACTGGAAAATGAGTCAATGGTTACTGCGTGATTGATTGCACAAACCGACAAGGATGCAAACCAAACTTTGTTTATAGTATACCTTTTAATAACTAAAGAAGACTGCCCCAAAACCAGGAAGCGGACTGCAGTGCAGGGCATTCTGGGCAAATACAACCAAAACAAACACTTATGTCTAACGCTAGTGGGAAAAATAGCTTGCGGTCTTTCATCAAAGACAAGAGAAGTCATACAACCACAGGAACGGGTTTTTTAAAGGGTTTGGATTCTTTGGATCCTTTGAAAGAATCACAGGAGCTGAAAATGTAACAAATATTGTAGCTTTGGTTCCCAATTGAATCAAGTTCACCAAACTATCTGGTGTAAAAACAATGTGACTCTCCTTCAGTGTATGGGAAAATACAGGAATACAATAATGTAGCCTGTACTCTCATAATACCGTATTTTCAGGACTGTATGTCCAGAGTATAAAGCGCATGATTCAAGAATGAAGATATGAAAAGGGATTGTATGATTTTATGCACTTTCCTGCTTACCTTATCACTGTGCTCCATGAATTCTGCCAAGTTAAGCAGCGTTTGCGTCACCTCGGCTATATCTTGAGAGGTGAGAGCTAACTCGATGCTGCGGATAAGCTCATCCTGCTGGTCTTCACTCAGCTCCGACCAACAGGACAGAAAAGCAGCGTTGAACAGGTCTCTGAAGTTCAGAAAAGACAGCTGGATTTAGTTTAAAGAAAAGAAAATCTTAGTAAACATGAAAATGTAAGTATTTTGCAGAAGCAGGAACTAGTAAGAAGGCTAACCAGTGTTAAAACTGTAAATTTAAGGGATGTTGCTGCATTACAATCAAGATCAAGTATAGCAGAAACTGTGAACCCGGCTTAGTGTCCATGATAGAGGCAGAAAAGGTTAGCCGTCAAGGGTACATTAGCAGCCTAGAGTCACATAATTCAATGAAGATGTTTGTGACCAAACTCATGAAATAGTTTGATCACAAACATCTGATCGAACTATTGTGGCAAACAGTCCTGCCACAACAGGACTATTTCCTGTCTATTTCCTGCTGTGGCAGGATCCCCCACCTAATCCCCATATTTACAGTAAATGTAAATTTGGGGAGTAGATGGGGGATCTCACTGCATGACAAACAAACCAACAACTGAACCCTTTGTGTCCATGAAAGAAAAGCCATCGAGCTAGCAGGGGGATATTAGCAGCTAGCTGATGTTAGCCTGGAGCCACAGAATTCAATGAAGATGTTTGATGTGATTCAATACTTTTGACTGACAGAAATGTCCCACAATAAAAAAAAAAAATAAAAAAAAATGTATATAAAATAGTTTTGCTATGACAAAATGGAAGATCCACTGTTAACATATTTATGCTCAACTTATATTTTCTGCAGATAATTAAGACTTTTTAAGGCCTTAATTTTAGGCACACAAATTTAAGACTTTTTAAGGTTGATTAATTTATTTAACATGAGAGTGTGCATACTAATGAACGTCCAATATTGTCGTAAATATACCGGATTTAGCTTAATGCTAATTTCCATCCGAAGACCCATATAGCAGATAACACAAAATACATACATTCAAACTTATAAACAAGTGCAGACACACAGCTGTATATCTATAGGATCATTGTACAGCCAGATGTGACAAGGTTTTGCAGCTGTACTGCAGGCAGAAATTCAAACTTACTTGTGTCTTTTCCCTAAAAAACACTATGGATATGTTTTTACTCCCTGTGGTTTATCACAGACGTTAAAAGTTTTAAAAAAGAAAAACCAGACACACAGAAAAGAAAGAGGAGCATTACTTTGTGGAGGAAGTAGAGGTTGAAAAGTAGACGTGTCAGTCACGCTGTACCTGGCAAGAGGGATGTACGTCTGTGCCAGAGACCAGCACGATCGCAGAGCCGGGGAGGACGACTCTTTGAGCAGGACAACGCTCAGACGCCTCAGCCACTCCAGCCAGTCATCTTTGGACACTTTCCGAGCAGCACCCCAGGCCTTAGAAAAGAAAAAAGCAAGGATTTAAAGCTGACTGGGAACTGTGTGGGAGCATCAGTTTTTCCAGACCTCACATTTGAACTGTGCCGTGACCCCTGTGCGCTCCAAAAGTAAGCACCTGCAAGCCATTCAGCTCTGCTGCTCGTTTTGATGAGGTTTTTCATTTCAACTAGTCGCCAATTTGTTGATTCATATTTCTTGAGAAGAAATAAACTGAGGCCTTTCAGTCAGAGCTGTTTACTAGGTGTGACATCAACACCAGCAGAGAGTCCAGTAAACAACACTGGGCTCTAAGCGCTGCAATCTTTCATTATAGGAATGTGTCGCTTTTGAAGGAAGGAAACTGCTAAGCGCCCACCTTCTGGAGTGCAGTCGTGCTAACATGGAGTTTCTTCATGGGGCCTGGCTCTACGGGGCCGCTGACCAGAGCGTCGCCTTGGTTGCCCCGAATCTGCCGGTGTTGAAAGATTAAAGGGTCCTCTTCCTCCTCTGCCAGAGTGTAACCCTATCATAAACAACACACACAGAGGCCACACGCAAACAGCCCACACACATTCAAACCGTTGATCAAAGCTACAAAACATGTTTTATGAATGAGTGCAGAAGGATATTTCCTCCCATCGAGGCTGTTTATAAACAAAAGTTTGGACGCAACATATTTATTTTATTATAATGTCATTCATGTTTAAATCATGTGGAGGCATTTGGTGTAACAGAGAAAGTAAATATTCAAATCAGATGGGAGCATGAGAGCGCTTAACGATGAATAATGTGAATATGTCGGAAGCTACTCACTTTCACAATGCGACATATCAGAATGTCGTAGCGCTGGTGATTGATCCGGTGCTTCAGCATCACTTTGTTCACCATAGGGATGAAAATCTGGTACTGGAAACAAGAAAGAGTAAATAAAAATATCTGTGGATTTTCTGGTTTGGTCTGCAACTTCAACCACAAGATAAACGCAGACCAAAGGATTTCCCTGAAGCCTACAGAGCTAAAAACAGCGCTGGCGGCACAAAGGTCACACCTCAAAACAATGCAAGTGTTTTTGGGAGTAAACTAGAGGGCTTGTGGGGAGAAGAGAGGCTACAAGTGACCTCATCCCCTCATAAACATTGCCTCCCCACTGGGAAACCATTCGGTGACATAAGCAGTCTGGCAGGAAGTAATGCAGACTGAGCGCTGCCTCGCCTCAGCTTGAGCTGAAATTACCGGGAGCTTTGGAGGCTAACACGACTACCTTCTTCCCCAGCTGGAACACCAGCGAGGACAGGGTGTCCATGGCGGTGGAGCGCAGCTCCGGCGTGCTGTCCAGCGTCCGAACAATCGGGTGGATAATGCGGGAAGCATAGTCTGTGAAGTCCAAGGACTCCGTTAGTCGGTCGAGCGTCTCCAGGGCAACCCTGACCCAGAGAAAAACGAGGAAATATGTTGGCAAGATGTTGAAAGATGCAAAGACAAATAGAGAAGCATCTGAAAGTATAACACATGTAAAAATAGAGGTGTCACACACCAGTCTAAGAGTTACTGCGTTTCTATTACAAGTATGCACTAAATGTCCACATTCAGCTGACGTCAAAAAAATATTTCGCAATCGCAGTGTTCTCATTAAATAAGAAATTAAATTAAAATCAAATGTGAATACGTTTGTTCACGTGATGAGTCATTAAAAATTATGGGGGCAACAAACGTCGATCCTTACAAGAGATTCATGTTTCAGTGTGTTCAGGAAATCTTACTCAGGCTTTGGTGTGACAAGCACCATACGAGTACCTACATATATATTTATATGATAGTCTGTAATTTTACAGAAGAGCTATGGATTCAACACTTTCAAATTACTAACTGAACTTTTGATGAGCTGAGATGCATGGAGCCGGCTGTGCACTGTTCAAAGAGGCAAATGCCTAAAATCAGGGCACTGCTGCTGATAAAGTTCACATGGCGTGACTTGTAAAAAAAAAAGTGTCTCCACTGCAGCTCTATGAAATACATAAATTTCCATATGGCTGAAAAACCATGACATGCTAGAGCAAAAACTTATATAAAAAAAAAAAGTGAGGAGTTTTTCTAAATTGCAGTGTTTCTTAATTCCAATTTGGACAAAATTATGGTCAATGGAAACGCAGCTGGAGTCTTGCAACCTTTAGATGTGCCTTTAAAACAAACAACCCTCAAAGGGCTAACATACACATACCACATAACATCTACAGTGTAATCATGTTGTAATATTATCTTCATTTATTGCAATAAGCCATTCAATAAAACTAAATGAGAACCGCCATTTGCAATACTGACTTGCGAGCCTGGAGGGGCACATCAGGGGCATCAAATAGCTTGACAATAGGAGGCAGCAATAAGTGGAGGTAGTCATCCAGATTGGCACCAAACAGCTGGATGGCGTTCAGCAGCTGGAGAAATAAAAATACGTTAACATAAGGACTTTCAGCTTTCTGTAGGTTTAGGGAAAGAAATGCTAATTTGTTTTATTCTATCAGAAATATTACATAACCTTTTGTAAAGAAGATAAATATCTACTAGAGGAATTCAGCTGTCATTTTTAAAGAACCTTTAAAAATGTCTAGATTTTGGAAGAAAGAAAAATGTGAAACTTTGTGAATATAGGGTATATATATTTAGTGCTTCCAATCTAAAAGCAAAAAAATAATAATAATCTAAAAATCATCTTCTGTTGTGTAAATTCAGTGCAATTATTCCATGACAAAAGAGGAATTTATATTGAAAACTGCATTTATTATGATATCCATATTTAACAACGTTGGTTGATTCTTTATCATTTTTGGTTAAAGGTATTAAAAGGCATTGTGGAAGGTCCAAAAAGCTTCAGGCTGCAGACCTACTGGCTACTGGATGGAAAAAGCATGAAATATGATTCTAAACCAGAGGTGGGCAATCCTGGTCCTCGAGGGCCAGGATTGCAACTCTTATGCCCCTTTTCCACTGGCCGGCTCGCTTTAAATGCGTTTCCACCAGCCCTTTTCAACGGGGCTGGCCCTGCTTTTTAGGGTCCTGCTTCAGAGCAGGGCCAGCCGGGCCGGCCCTGGTTTGGTAGGTGACGCAAGCTTCGCTGCTGTTCACTGATTGGCTGAGGGCGTGGACAAGACGGAGCAGCGGAGAGAGAAGAAAAATGAAGGCGCAACGTTTGAAACTCGCTGCAACACGGAAGTGATGGAAGATACAAACAAGCCGTTAACATGCCGGCTTTTTTCTTTGCTTCGGATTTCAATATTCAGCAGCAGCTCGATGGAGCCGTGAGGAATGAGTCGTTTTTGTCAGTAGTGGAGCGTATGTAAAACCTCGTTAGCCGCTTGGGAGACGACGGAGCCCCACGGTGAACACCGACGCAGACGCAGCTGACGCCGCTGCTGCTCTCCAGCCAGGTGAGAAGTTTGTAGATATATCTGTCTGGTTTGTACTACATTTAAGGTTGCATACAAGGTTGCATACAGTCATGGAAGACATTTAAAACACAAAGTCTGCTGTATTTTTGTTGCTCAAACACAACATGCGCATTTTCTGAAGACACTCGGTTGCACGTTACAGTTATAAATAACTAAATGTTGTACAGCATTTTACCTTCGCTTGTTTCTTATCTTTGCATGATTCTACGTGCTTCGATTGTTTCTCAGTTTGCTGTTGCATCTGAGTTTCCCCCG